GGGAAGATCCCGAGGACCCCCGGGGCGAGGACGAGGACTTTGGTGGCGGCGGGCAGGGGGACTACGACGATGGCGACGAGTCTTGTGCCTCAGGGTTAGTGCATGGGCNCGGCCGTGGGCGCGCCTCATCATCAGTCGGCTTATTCGATTTGGACGGCGTTCTGAATGACGAACAGGCAGAAGACTACTTCGCGCGGAGGGGAAACAGTGGTGGGATAGACGACGTGGAGGAGCTAGGGGAAGATCCCGAGGACCCCCGGGGCGAGGACGAGGACTTTGGTGGCGGCGGGCAGGGGGACTACGACGATGGCGACGAGTCTTCTGCCTCAGGGTTAGTGCATGGGGATGAAGGCAGCGACGGACAAGGCCAGTTCGAGCTCGACGACGAGGAGGCGACGGAACTCTCCGCGGGCAAGGCGGGTCAGAAGGTGCGCTCCTTGAGGGAGGGAGGCGTGCGGAAGCAGAAGTTTCGCGGAACCCCAGGTGGCGTCTCGGGTGGTAGCTCGGAGATAATGGACTTGATGAAGATGGCTGTGACCAAGTTGGTGGACAGACCGAACCCTCAGCAGCAACCGCCCGCGCCCGCCGAACTCGATGCGCTTAGGGCACAGGTTGCGCACAACACTCAGCTCGCGCAACGCAGTCACGACATGGCCGAGCAGAGTCTGCAGCAGTCCCAGCAAGGGTTGGGGTTGTTGCAAAGTATTGCGGCCAAAATCGGCGTGGGACAGCCAGGAGGACATTCAGGGGGGGCGGCGACAGCTCCTTGGGCGCCGCCGCCGACTACTCCGGTGGCACCTCAAGCTACCGCTGCCGCGGCGACCTCATCACCGCGGCCGCCGCCACCAGCTCCGGCGCCAGCTGCCGCTGCAGCGGCGTCCCCGGCGGGTGCCCCGCCTGCGGTGGGAATGCCCCCTCCCGCTGTTCTCCCAGGTTTCGTTTCGCGAGGACAGGGGCTAGGCAGCAGACTCCAGTAGCGCGGGTGGGTGCGGGCGGGTTTAGGGGGGCGCCTTCGGGAGGCCGGGTGACTGGGGGGCGTGGAACGGGAGGCGGTCGAGCCCCGGATGCTGGCGGCAATGAGAAGCGTCCTGTCGGGGTTAGGCGGGGGGGCTTATTCCGGAGGCCAGAGCGTGGGGGGCGGAGAGCTGGGACAGGGATTAAGAGCGGCAGTTCGAATTTCGTGCAGCCGGCTTGGAGACCAGTCTAGAGCTAGGTGGTTCATCTGCCTCCCCTCAAAGGTACTCTGGCGTCATCTTTGTCCTTCGTGTCTTGTGTTTTGTCTTTTGTCCGTCTGCCAGTGTGGTGTATTGAAGCGCTTTCGGAGAGTGTGTACGATGGAGGAGGTGCCTGCGTGCACTATATCGGGTCGCCGGTTGGACCTTGCGTGTCTTCGTTTTCTGGGATTGCCAGATGGCGTCTCCCCCCCCCCCCCTGCGGCTTGGGCCCAACGGCGTGCGTTTCGCGTTTCACGTTTGGCTGCCATGTTTGTTTCTCTCTTGAATATCCCCTCTATGTGCGTTACCCTGCAGCTATTTTCCGGTCGTCGGCGTTCGCTTGCTGTCGTCTTTGTAGTCTAGTGCGAACGGATTTTGACTACAAAGGACGCCTCTTGCGCGCTCCAGCCTTATCGCCCCACCTGTTGCTTAGTTGGACGTGGGCGTTCCCACACCTGCGTCCTCGACATTCCTGT